TCCCTAACCGGGTGGGGAGGGGTGGGGAGGGCGGAGCGCGGGAGGGGCGGGGTCCGGGAGGGCGGGGCGCGGCGGCCAGGCGGCGGCGGCGGCCAGGCGTCTCCTCGGCGTCTGCTCCGGCTCGGCTGCGGCTCGGCCCGCGATGTCCCACTCGGTGACCCTGCGCGGCCCTTCGCCCTGGGGCTTCCGCCTGGTGGGCGGCCGGGACTTCAGCGCGCCCCTCACCATCTCGCGGGTGAGTCCGAAGGCCACGGGGCGGCGGGGCGGTCCCGGGACTGAGAGCCGGTCCTCGCGGTTCACCCGACGTGTCGGAGGCTTGAAAGCCGAGGCCTGGCCCGATCGACCCGCAAGCGGTAGCGGCTGCTTCCAGCGGGGCAGCGCCGCCCCACCCCCTCCCCGCCGGCCCTGCCGCTCTGCTCCCCGGAGAGTTCCCAGCTAGCCCCCTCCCCGCTGGCCTCCTTTTGGGGGAGTCACTGTGGGCCAGGGGGGACCCGCAGACATAGGTCCAGGGTCTAGATAAGATCTACAGGGACCCAGAAACTCTGCTCAGACTCGACCCTGCTGGAAGATTTGGGGCAGTGACAGAAGTTCCCTCCCCTATCAAAGGTCACTGCTAGCAGAGCCGGGTGACCGACCCCGGCGTGGTCTGGGGTCCTCTTGGAGTCTGAGAAAAGCCACTTCGCTTCCCCACTCTGGACTTCTTCCCCATTCTTCTGTGACCTCAGTCACCCTTAGGGGAAGTGGCCGGGATCTTTAGCTTCCAGGGAAAGCGGAGATTTGACCAGGAGGTGTGAGACCTCTGTTTTACAAGGCGACACAAGGCCGGGGACCAGGCTGTCCTCAGCCCAGGTCCTCGAGGTTCCCGGGCCTGTGCCTTGCCCCAAGTTTGAGAAAGACGAAGAAGAGGATGGGCGCAGAGATGGGGAGGTGCAGGAGCAGGGGAGGTGACTCAGCCTGGTTGCAAAAGGTACCCAGGGGGAGACGGGATACCCGCTCGGCCCTGCAGCTCCCTTGTGTGGAGGGGCTCGGCCTCTGCCTTTGGAAACCCCCAGCCTAGAGACGGAAGAACGTAAGCCCTGCCCTTGGCTCCCAGACCAGAAGGAGCACAGGACAGACTTGGGACCAGCCGAGGGCTAGCCCTTTCCCCCACAGGGGCTGCTTTGGTGTTTGGGGCTTGTGTGGGGGAACTGAGAACCACCTTCCTCCAGGTCTACTCCCTCTTTTCGCCCTGGGGGCTGGGCCAAATTTCAGACTTCTGTCCAGTTCTTGGGAGGGGGGTGGGCACCGGGTGGAGCATGGATCCATGGAATCCCGTTTCTGGGGGCCAGGGTGATGGGCAGGACCAGCTGTACTAGGAGGCTTCCCACATCTGCCCTCACCGCTAGTTCCCTGGGGCCTGGAGAGATGGGCCTTCAGTACATCCGGGAGCCTTTCATCTCCATTCCTGATAGATCCCTGCCGGGTGTGTGTGTGCGTATGCAGGAGCATTTCAGTGCCTGCCTGTGTGGATCAAGCTGTGTGTCCTCCAGGGAGGGCGGGTGGGAGTGTTAGGCCTGCCAGCAGGCCAGGCACTCAGGGTGTGAGGCCGCTGACAGGCTCAGTGGCAGGGAGCTGAGACATCTGTTGTCCACGCGCTGCCTGCCTTCCTGCCTAGGAAAGGCCTCTCATGTCACGGGAGCAGCAGTGGCCTTGTTTGGCCAGGGATGCAGGACCCTGGCAGGCAGTCAGGCAGTCTAGTGGAGGGGTGTGTTGAGAAGAGCCCCTCTTTTGTCCCACAGAGTTGCAGGGCAGCAGCTCAGGCCCGAGGAGCCAAGATGACTGAGCCTGGGTTTGGGTGGAATCTGGGAGGATTTACAGGGCTGGGGAGGCACAGGCCACAGCTTGCCCAGCAGGTACCTGAGGGGCAAGTCTGCAGGCCTCGGGATGTGTGGGAGTGTCCTGACCAAGGGGGCTGAAGGTCCAGGCCTACCCTGTACCCAGCAGGAAACCTCAGCCTCATGCAGACAGGGCCGAGGTGCTGCTACCAGGAACCCTCAGCGATCCCGAAAAACACCATCCAGGGCCCCTTCCTCACAGACAAACTACTGCCTTTCCTGAGTCCAATGTGCCGGGCCTCGGCCTAACACACACTGGTACCAGTGCCTCTGTGGGGCCCAGGCCCTAACAAGCAACACTGTACACCCGGCCTCCTGTGGAGGTCTCACTTGCCCCCAGATGTCTCAGTTGGTCCACAAGGCAGCCCTTCAGAGGACTCCCTCTGACCTCACATTGTAGATGGGGCCCCTGGGGCTCAGAGAAGTTAGGTTGACGTACCCAGGGAAGCAGGGTGAGAACAGGAATTCAGGCCCGGGGAGAGCTTGGTGTGCCCATATGGACGACAGCATCCTCTGTGGTTCCCAGGCCACCACTGCATCGGGCAGGGTGGCGCAGGGGCTGATGTGCAGCTCCTACAGGTGGCGGCCGACTCACACTCCGGCCTCCCCCAACCTCACTGCACCCATCTCTTTCCCTGTGTTTATTCTTCACTCTGGTGTAGTTAGAGGGATCAGCTTGGATTCAGCTCTGTCCTGTGACTTCCTGCTTGGAACCTTCCGTGGTTCCCAGCCACCCCAGAGAAGTGCTGGCTCCTTGTCTGGGCCCACAGAGCCCTGAAGATCTGGTCTCCTCTGGGACAGTCTCTCTTCCTTCCCTCCCTTTTTGCACAGAAGCACCGTAGTTAAGAATTTAAGTTTGGATCTGGAGTAGAATCCTGACTCAGCCATTTACAGTGTAAATTGTTTCTCTGTACTTCTCTGGACCTCAATGTTCTCATCTAGGAGATGGGTTTGCCTTGTGAATTAATGAGTCAAAGCACATCAGGGCAGCTGGGAGAGTCATGGTTTCCTGGCCTCCTGCCCTCCCTGACCAGAACACCCCTGGCTTAGGGGAGCTGGCAGCACCCCAGCCATCCCTGCTTTCAGGAACCTCCACTGCCCACGGGGACCTGAATGCACCCCTTGTGCCGGCTGAGCCATCTCACAGCTAGCTGCCCCTGAGGACGGAGACCTCTTTAGTGGGGGACCAGGGCAAGCCCCGGGGCCCTGAGCCCCTCCTCCTCATGTGTTGGATGAGAACAGCCCAGCCCTCCCCAGTGACTGAGGGGTCACTATGAGCTAGTCATGGCTGCGGCACCCGCTCTAGCCCCAAGCAGGTATCATTGAAGGGCAGGGGCCCAGAGTGGGGCCTTGAGAGGAGGGACGGTGCCCAGCGGCCACCTGCTGCCAGATGAGCCTGTGCAGGTGCCTCGGTCCTGTGAGTGGACATTAATGGTGGGCTGGACATCATGCTTGCTGTGAGGACCATTCCTTGAGCCAGGTCAGCCCGGCAGGGCCCACCAGGCTTGCAGTCAAGGAGCTGCCGGCACCTCAGGTTTTTCACTTGTTGCTGTGAAGAAACTAGCCAGCTGGGCTTCCAGGAACTCGCACTCCTACTGATAGGATCGAGATCATCGGCAGCCTCTGACCTACAGGAGCAGGACACTGGCTGGAGAGGCTGGGGTGGGGCCGAGACCGAGTGAAGGGGCCACTGTCACCTGGCTCCCCTGCCTGCCTGCCCTGCATCTCTGTGAGTCCTCACCAGCCCTGCACGGGCCCTGGTCAGAGGATCAGCATCGTGAGGGTCTCCAGATGTGAAGCCCACTGGACTCTGAGGTCAGTGGTGACACTGGGTGCCCTGAAAGGGCAGCAGAGGTGGAACTGTGACCCCAGAATGCAGGCTGGCAGCTAGAACCGAGTGGCCCTGGGATTCCCTGAGGAACTGATCCCCCAGTTGAACTATAATGAGGTGTTAATGGGGGGGGGGGCAGAGATACTGCCAGAGTGGAGATCTCTGTGCTGAGGCCTGCAGGAGGAGGGACAGGCTGGCAAGTAGGGTTTGGGAGTCAAGAGGGAGATGTTCCAGGTGGAGGGAGCAGCACCTGTGGGAAGCATGGAGGTGGGGACTGTCCGGTGTCCCTGAGTCCCCCGCAGCCCCCTTCCAGACCTTCGAACCCCACCAGGCCTCAGGGGCTGGGGCTGAGCTTTCACACTGAGCTACACCCCCAGGTCTTGTTTGTTTTTTATTTGGGGACAGGATCTTGCTAAGTTGCCCAGGCTGGGCTTGAACTTGTGAAGAGGAGTACATCACCACACCCAACTTGGAGCTGGGGTTTTTAAAGTGGAGGCTGCAGCAAGCCACATGGGGGCCTCCGCCAGCCCCTCGCCCTGCCCACCCACCGGTCCCTCGTGGCAGATCTACTCTGGGCAGATGCTAAGGTTGGAGGCGCTTTAGAGCAGAAGGTCACATAACAACTGTGCCAACCGTCTTTATTGTCTGCCCCAAGGTCCATGCTGGCAGCAAGGCCGCGCTGGCTGCTCTGTGTCCCGGAGACCTGATCCAGGCTATCAATGGTGAGAGCACAGAGCTCATGACGCACCTGGAGGCGCAGAACCGCATCAAAGGCTGCCACGATCACCTCACGCTCTCTGTGAGCAGGTACGCACTGGGCAGGCTGGGCAGGGAGTGTGCCAGGAGACAGTAGGACCAGCTGGGAGCAGCCTTGGCCCTGGGTGAGCTGGGCTTGTCTGCCTCAGCTCCTGGGCACCTCACCCAAGCCCAGACCTAGGGTTAGTGCTGTCATGGGGGCCTGGAGGGCACTGATCAGAGCTGGAATCGCTTACAGAAGGGAAAATCCCTTTCCACTCAAGACTAGAAGTGTTCTGAGGCAGGCAGGTGTTGCTGGCAGCAGAAATGAGACCTTCCTGGGGCTTTGCTTCAGTCCCTTCCCCTTCCTGTAAGTGACCATCTTAGTGACCATCTCAGAGCAGTTATCTTCAAATGAATTTAAAAGTTAAAAAGTGATGGAGCCGAGTGCAGTGGTACACGCCTGTAATCCCAGCACTCAGAAGACAGAGGCAGGCGGATTGCCGTGAGTTTGAGGACGGCCCAGGTTACATAGTGGGTTTAAGACCAGCCTGAACTATATAGCAAAACCCTGTCTCAAAAAGAAAAATCCCTAATGGAAGCCCCACTTTACAGATGAGACAACTGAGGCTCAGAAAGGTTAGAGAGTGCTTAAAGCCACACAGTGAGGCAATGGGGAAGCAAAATTTGATCTCATGTGTCTCTTATCCTTGAAGACTCCAGTACCTCTACTGTGCTGCTGGCCACTGTCACCAGCCCCACATGGCAGCTGCCCTGCCTCAGCTGTCCCCACCGTGGCCCGCACCTCTGCTCTGGTTGAATCTGGATTTGGAACAGTCTTCCTGCCATGAATTGTGTAATGCTGTCAGCCCATCTCAAAGGAGAGGACGGGGGTCCCGAGCTAGGATGAAAGTTCCCCCTGCCCTGCTCAGTGCTAGGTCTTTACTCGGCTTTGACAGGCTGTCAGGCTAATCCCAGCTGAGTGGGATCTCCCTACGCCTCTGCCCCACCTGGATCTGGAGAAGTCACATAGCTGCTCAGCTCTGCCTGGCTCCCTGTGAACAGGGACTTTCCATGACCCCCTGTGGAAATGTGTGGGCGAAACCTCTCCAAACCACAACACAGCTAACCATGCCTTAGAGCTGGCAGGGCGGATGTGAGGTGCTGGGTGGGAGCCTTTAAACTCTGTGAGAGGGTTTATGAGGTAGGCCTGTTTGTGCCTGGCCCGAGACTAGGTCCAGGCTGGGGTCAGGTTGTGCTCTTGGTGCAGAGTAGGCCAAGTTGCAAGTCCAGGGCCTTCCCCGCTTGGCACGTAGTGAGGACACCCAGCCTAGGAGCTCAGCAGAGCGAGGCCTCTTCCAGATTGTGCGATCTTAGGTACCCAGATGACCTCCGTGAGCCTGGGTTTCCTTTCCCATAAAACAAGGTCACATGGATCACCCTGAGCCAGACTGAGGAACTGCGGGTTGGGGGAAGTATCAGCATCGCTCTGCCCACAAGTGGCCTCCGAGGCCTCCCACCTTGGCTGGGTTCCTGGGCCCTGACTCACCTCTGTCTCTGGCTCTGGCTTAACAAGGGCAGCCCCAGTGGTGGAGGAGCTGGGGGAGGCTCACAAGGGGCCTGAGTCAGGAGATTCCTAGAGAGAATGATGTCATGGGAGGCTGGCCGGGTGGAGGTCCCCCTTCCTTCCTTCCTTTCCTGGTCATTTGTTCCACGCCAGGCACGGATGGAGCCAGGGATCTACTGCCCTGCTGCACTCCGGGTGTTATAGTCTCCAGTTGCCATCTGGCCTCGGAGTAGGGAGCACATACATTGTCCACAGTCGCAGAGCTCCATGCTAGACTGGCTCTCCACTTGAGAACCATGAGAGAGCTTTGCTCTCTGAGCCCTGACCTCCCTCATCTCTAGAACGGGAGCTGCTTTGAGGTCTGGCCACTGAAGGATGATGGGGTTCTGAGTCTGCTCAGTCAGAGTGAAAAATCCCAAGTCCTGCCTTCACCCTCCCTCCAGCCCTCACACACGCAGACTCTTGGGGAGCAAGACATACGGGCCACTCTGACGCTCTGGCCCAACGTTCCTCTTTCTGGACACCACCCCTGCAGGACTCCTGAGCCCTCTCTGCCTGCTATCGCAGGACCAGTGCCTGGGCCCCAAAGGCCCTTCCACCTGCAACCTGGGCTCCTCTGAGGATCAGCCTGGTGAGCAACTGTGCACTCTTCACTGTACCCAGGCCAGCCTCACTGCCTGCCTCTACAGAGAGCTCTGATCCCCTGCAGATTTGCCCACAGAGTGAAATGTGCAGTTAAAGATCCAGCTTCCCTTCCCAAAGCCAAGCAACCATCATCCGAGCTAACCCAGACTTCGTGGGCGTGTTCTGCAGGTCCAGGGCCTTCCCAGCATCGACGTCAGCCCTGCCACAGTTGGGGGTCTCTGTTGCCCAACACGTGTGATCCAAGGCGCCTTGCCATATCCCACCCTTTGGTTCTCATTTCATCTGAACGTGGGCACATGGAGCCACCTCCCTGGTCTGAAGCGCAGGTCTTTCTAAGACCTTAGACCTTGGAGTGAAGGCTGTCTAAGCCCTTCTTTCTTACCGGATGCCTTGGGCCACTCGAATGGCTCTGGGCATTTGGTGTCCTCTGACCCTTAGACCTCAGGCTTGGACTCCCCTCCTTGGCAGAACTTCAGGGGAATACCAGGCTAGATAGCCACATAGGATGTCTCAGGTGTGTCCTAGCAGTTTTGAGAGCAAACGTACCACAGAGCTGTGAGTCAGGGCGGTCTCTTAGGTGCCTGGCTGAAGGTGCTGGATGGGGAAAGGGTTTTCCTGGGCCAGCACAACCTCGATGCCAAGGGACCCCTGAAGGCTTCGGTAGAGAGTTATCTGCAGGGAGCCGGGGAATGGGCAGAGCCAGCGTGCACTGCAGCTATAAAGGGATTATTAAATCCCTCAGCTGACAGAAACAGGATCAAGCTGTGAGGCCAGTTGTGAGGCCCCAGGAAGTCCCAGGAGGCCTCTTGTTGAGGGATCCTTACTTCCCTTTCGTCTAACCAGACTCCTTTCACCCCACTGCAGTCCAGGGTCCATGTGCCCCCCTGGCCTGCCCTCGCTGGGAGCTAGGAGCTACTGAGTTGCAGGGCTGGGCCCCAGGCCACAGCCTCTAGGACTGCCCGCCCTGCTTATGGCAGGTTTACGATGTTTTTCTCCCTCCTGAGTGGTGTTTGGTTTTTGGTTTCTATGGCGATGCAGGAATTTCCTAATGGCCTGTTTCCCATCTGGGCTAGGCAGACTTCGGTAGTGATGACTCTGCTGGCTGTGGTGGGGCGGCAGCAATAGGGAAGGCACACCCTTCAGAACCTCTATTTCACCTCCCCGAGGGCCGACCCCGAACCCCGGGCAGAGGCTGAGGACAGCCGAGGGATGCGGGGATGAGCTCCTAGCAGACCCACGTGTGCAGTCGCTCCCTCCTGAGCTGAGCCTCTGAGCTGAGCTTCTGCAGGCCACCGAAGGGGTGGACGAGTGGGGCAGTTGCAGGGCCCCTGTGACCACCTCTCTTCAGGAACCAAATAAGACAAGGATGGGCAGGTGGCAGGAAAGGGCACCCACATCTCCGCCCCAGAGGGTGGCAGACCTAGACTTGGGGCTCTTTGCCACACTGGGGTACAGGGGAACACACTGGGTTGGTGTCCTCCCTCAGCAGATCAGAGCCCCTTTGTCCTGCTTCTTGGTATGGTGAGCGTACTAGACAGACATGCATGACCACTGGAATTCTTGCCACAGGCCTGACAGCAGGAGCTGGCCCGGTGCCGCTGATGACAAAGCCCAGGCGTACCGGATTCACATCGACTCTGAGGCCCAGGTAGGTACAGACGCTGCCTGGCCTGGCCTAGCTCCGTGTGAGCCCCCAGCAGAGGAGCCAAGTTCAAGGAGCCATAGGGTCACCTACCCTGGTCATCACACTGTGGCTCTCAGACACACAAGACAGAGACCGAAACAGACAGCTCCTCTAGGCCGTGCCCCGCTGCATCCCGTGGTCCTCAGACAGTGAGCCTCGCTGGAGTTCATTCTGATACCCAGCAGTGCTGCATTGAGAAGAAGCGAGCAGCGCGGCAGAGGAGCAGACGCTTGGTGGCTGCTGATCTCAGGCCACAGGACACGTCTGTGTGTCATCCCAGCCTTGGGCACCCCAAGGTTGAAGCTCTCTACTGGCCGCCCTGTGAGTGCGGCTGGTAGATTTCAGGCTGCACATCTGTGTGCTCAGTCACCTTTTGTGTGTACGGTGGAAGTCATGGCTATGGCTATGTCCTCAAGGAAAGTGCGGGGACTGGGCTGCTCTAGGACTTTGCTTTGCCATGGACACGAGGCTAGCCGAGTTGCCAAGAGTGAGCAACCTGGACCTAGCTCCATGCATCTGGGCCACTGAGTTTGGGCAGGGTGGAGACTGGCCCAGAAACACGGGGCCCAGCTCGTGGGCAGCGTCCTGAGCCTCCTTTCGCCCACTCTGTCTCCGCGCACGAAAGGGAGCAGGGCAGGGAGAGGAGGTGTCACCAGATCAGAGAAGGGGTCTGGCCGGCCCTCCCTCGCCAGCTCCCCAGTCCCTGCCTTGCCTCAGCCGGCATCCCACAGGGCACATGTTGCCACAGCCACAGAGAGCGTGTTCCCATGAAGTGGGACACGTAGAAGTCCCGAGATGGGGGAGCCAGGGCCAAAGGAGCCCCCGGTAGGTACATGAGTCAGCCAGGGGTCAGCGAGGGCTTCCTGGAGGAGGGGTGTTCCTGGAAAGCACAGCCAGGCACAGGGCTGTGCAGAACGGCAGTGTCTCCTCAGGATGCATGTACAAAGACCCAGAGGTGAGGCTGTACATCACAGGATCAGGGAACAAAACGGCCTGGGATGTGGTTCTGCCCCTGCCTCACAGCAGAAGGTCCCGAGTTCGATCCCCAGTACCGCCCCCCCAAAAAAACAAAACAAAAGGCCTGGGGTGGGGGTGGGGTAGAGGCCTGGGAGATGCTCTCGGATTCACAGAGATTCATGTCCACTTTTTTTTTGCCTCAGATGCTTTCTCTGGTGGCCACATGGACCCAAGGCCCTAAGGGCTGGGGAGGGGCGTCAGATTTGGCATAGACTTGTCGTCCCACTGCTCCTGGTCCAGAGGAAGGGGCTTCCCGGTCACCATCCCTCCCGCTGCTCCCAGCCCAGAGGAAAGGGCTTTTGGGCCACCTTCTGTCCCACTACTCCTGGTCCAGAGGAAGGGGCTTCCCGGTCACCATCCCTCCCGCTGCTCCCAGCCCAGAGGAAAGGGCTTTTGGGCCACCTTCTGTCCCGCTGCTCCTGGCCCAGAGGAAGGGGCTTCTGAGCCACCATCCCACTGCTCCTGGTCCAGAGGAAGGGGTTTTGGGCCACCTTCTGTCCCACTGCTCCTGGCCCAGAGGAAGGGGCTTCTGAGCCACCATCCCACTGCTCCTGGTCCAGAGGAAGGGGTTTCCCGGCCACCATCCCTCCGGCTGCTCCCAGCCCACAAGAAAGGGCTTTTCGGTCACCTTCCCTACCACTGCTCCCGGCCCCTGTCCCACCTCACCCAGCTCAGAGGAGGTAATCCGTGCAGGCGCTAACAGCCCCCCGCCCGAGTCAAAATGACAAAACATGTAAAGAAGTCTCAAAACCAGACTTCCAGATCACCTGCAGCAACCCCAAAGGGAAATGCGATGGAACACTCTGATACTCAACCACCTGGACCCACTGAACTGGCAACCAAAGGGGATCTGGAAAAAATGAAATCAGAAA